TCCTCCTCCTCCTACTACTGCTACTACTACTACTACTACTACTACCCTGCTTGGCCGTATCTACTTAAAACCGTTTCTTTTCAAATCAGGAAAGCATCAGCTCTTCGAGCTTGACGCAGTTTTGGGCATTGGCCGCAACCTGCCAGGATCGGGTTTTTCCTGGCTAGAGTCGGCTAGAGTCGCATGAAGAGACTCTGTACTCTCGAAGCTGGGCATGTTCTGAGATGGCGTTAGGCTTCACGACCGGCTTGTGCCTCCTCGCGAGCAACCTCCAAATCCGTCTCGTTCGCCACAGCCATCGGATCTGCTGGAACTGCCTCAAGAAATCGAAAACAAAATAGAATAAACAAGCAGGTTCTTCCAACATACACCACCATATTTAGTTTACGCAGAGGCACATGCGTGACACTTGCAGTAAAACCTTCCCACTCCCTATCCTAGAGGCTCCCATGGACAGACTCGGTCGCAATCCCAACCCCGCAGCTCCCCGTTGCATTTAGACACGATGCACATTCATGGTGAACCAAAGGTCAGGGAGAAATAAAAATGCCACGAAAAAAGATAACATGCACTCAATGCCTTGCTGCACGATTCTTGCTATGGTGATGAGTTGGATTAGCTCACGCGCGCTATGGTCACCGAGTCACCATGGTCGACATCGTCATGGTTATAGGCATCAGCACTAGTTACCGTCGTCGTTGTCGTCACCGCTATCTCTGCCACCTTCCTCCTCCCCGACCTTCTTCACGGCGATGATGCCAATCATTGAAGCAGCCCTATCCTTGCCGCCATCATCCATCATCACCACCATCCTTGTCGTTCTCAGCATCACCACAAAAGGCGTTCGTGACCATGGTCAACCTCAGATTGCCATGATTGCAGTCAGTGTCGCCCTCGCCCTTCACATCACAACCACTATCAACAACAGCATCATCACGACGACTGGTAGGTTTCTGCGTTGCCGCTATGGCTGTCCTTCCCTCCGCAGGAATTTCTCCGATGTACAAAAATAGACAAGATAGGATTGGCAATTTGGCCCTTCGTCCTGGCGCCATGCTGCGACCCTGTTTCGTACTCACGCAAGGCACCAGAGGTGGACTAGACTCGCTGCAGCAGGCTGAAATAAAGCGGGGGACGGCTTTCAGCAACGAGGAGAAGTCTATCAAGTGTCAAAACGAACCCCAGTCGCCATCATATATATATATATATTTATTTATTTATATCTATATTTTTTCATCATCATCATCATCATATGTATATATATATATATAAAAAATGCTTTGCGCGGAAGTCGCATGAAAAAAACACTTGCGCTGTCGTCTCAGCCCTTTTCCTGAACTCCAACCCTGCTGTTCGAAACCCATCGGCCTTTAGCGAGGGCGTCGCTTGTAGCTGCCAGGAAAGCCAAAATGCTGCAGAGGCCGTTCCGATTTTTGACCAGCTGAAGATCGGATCCCTTGCATTGTCTTTCCTTGCTCTCAAGGCACTGGCTAGGAGTCTGTACCTGTAGTACAAGGGCCAATGTATACAAGCAGAGAAGGGTTTTGGGTCGTCTGGGATGTGGTCAACTTGGCAGTCGATGGAAGTATAACTTGCCGTCGTTATGAAGGCATCTATGTAGAGTGTAAAGTTCCAGTCGCTTGACGGGTCTGGGAACCTGAAACAAACCCCGAGCCAACTCTCGCCGTCATGTGCCTGGCATTGCTACATTCCACTGCAATGCCTGAATCCAGCGCCACGCTTATTCTCCTTCTGAGTTTGCAGTATAGATGTGACTCGGGTTGTTGCTCTTGTAACTATCTTTCTTGATGATGCTATTGTGATGATGACGGTTGTCCAGACAGCCATGGCATGCTTTCGTACTTTGGTTGTGGCGATGATGACATGATAGCCGATGACATGATAGTCGTGTTCAGAATTTAGATGAGTCTTACTGCTCGTCTGTACCACTGTACCAGGTACGACTTCTCCCACTCTTGACTATGTTTGCGCATTGTACCTCTCATTCCTGTCCTGCTTGAAGTTTCTGTGCTACTGACAAAGAACCAGTGCGACGGACGATAAGTGGGATCGGAAGGAGCTGTTGGATTCCTGTGCTGTCACTGTCCAATGCTGTCAACATCTCTGCAGCCTTGACATGAAGGGTTCGCACCTGATTCCACCCGTGGCGCAACTTGGATTCGTAACATGCGCAAACGCCCGCGCACCCACGAAAAACTGGATTTGTTCGACTGGCTATCTCAATGTGCTCATGCTTACTGTCCTTGCTGGCACTTTACCATGTATCTGTCGACTATTCTCGGTTATTGCTTGTCATTGTCCTGTCTATACTTATCCAAAACACCCAGACTTTCGGCCCCGGGCCGCTTCCAGCTCGCTCTGCAGATGGTAGATTTCCTGTGTAGAGCACTTGTGCTTGGCTTGGAGGCCACGGTCGGTCCAGTGAGGGCGTTTGGGGTCCATGGCGTATTCAAGGTCTTCAAGGTGTGTTAACCTAGGGGACCTAGAATATTGAAGATTAGCGACGCGCACTGTTAAGTGTGCATCGTTCCAATTCTGGGACTACGTAGGACTGGTGCTTCGGACATGCTTCTGGCTTCCTGGCGTTCGTGCTTCAAGCTTCGGAGCCTGGGGGTTTAGGCTTTCGACACTCATGACCGCACATGTCCACGCAAGGATTGCGCCGACGGTCTGACAGGGTGAGACAGTACCACTAACCCCAAAAGCACAACAGTACCCGCTTGGCGTTGAGCTGAAGCTACATATCTGACTGCGGCACTGCGTGCATCGAAACCCGCTCATGCAGGAAATCCACATGCAGCCCAATCCATGCAGAACAGCCAGGATGCGTCAATGCACTGCTCATCGTGAATCAAGAAATACTGCACCACAGCCAATAGAATGTCGAAGGATCACGCGCGAAACCAACCGTGTCAACTGACGTAACCCAATACTCATGCCAATGTGTGACAGGGATTTTCATAATCCGGCGAGCGAGAGCTATAGTTCCTATACAAGTGTTTTTAGTACCGTCGGCCTCTCTGCGGCAGCTTCAACGTACTCATTCGCTCGTCCATGAATTAAGCGAAGATAAAGCGAGCTTGCCTCCTCCAGTGCTGCACTGCGGGGCCCAAACCTTCGGGTGCGAAAACGGCTTCCGAGAGTTTCCGGGCTCAGATGTAACGGAAAGCCTGTCACAGTTGTCGTGCCTTCTCATGCGCAGGCTTTAAATGGCTTCCAGGAAATCTTGTCATCATGCGTGACAGTTCTCACAGGCTACACGGTCCATTAGTGTCCTACACCTCAATGCTCGGAGTAGGGTGCATGCTCCAGCATGATGTAAGTTTCGAACATGCAGCCCTGCAGTGCAGAAGGGCCAATAGACATAAGGAATACATCCAGGCAGGATGCTAAGTGTACACCACCTATGTATTGGATACTGGTATGTGCATTGAGTAGACAACAAGTATCCGATGACAACTGTGAGAACGCGTGCATACACACGGGGCTACAGATGGACACAATCAGAAATACACTTGCAGTCACATGCGCATGCAAGCAAACATACAAATACAGCAATAGCACACATATCCCGATCCCGACATACCCCGATCACGAGCCAGGAATCCACGCATACATCTACGTGCGCGTAAAACTATATTCTATATGTTGCTTCGCACCATCATCTTCACACCATTGACATGACCATGAAACTGCCGGCGGGAGATGTAAAATGCGTATTTTCGAAGGGGAGGGCAGGGCATCAGCAGTGGTAGCGCTTGTGCTTGTGTCGAGTGCAGCTAACAGCAACACAAATCCTTGTCGGCTGTCCGCCTACTCCTGACACTGAAGCCCCATCCCCACATATGCAGAAGTGGGATCGCCTGCGACGCTGGAGCGCACCGGCGAGCTCGCCGTGGGCACGACGGAGATGTGGCACCCCCTGGCGAGGCAAGTGGATCCCTTCAGCTTGGTGTGTGCTCATGCAAACCTAAGAATGCAAACCCAAGACTCGAAACCGCACTCGATACCCCAACTGGCAGCAACTGGTGGAAGCCCAAGTAGGCAATCCTTTGGCTGGACATTGTTCCCTAATATGTATATGCAATACCACTACTACTACTACTACGACGACGACTACTACTACTTCTTACTACTACTAAAACGACGACTACTGTTAGTATCAACTACGTACTGGAACCACTCGGGACTGCCCGAAACCCCGCCTTATCCAATTCTCTCATCGCCTTCAGCTCCTCCTCGACAGCCGGGGAGACCAGGGATTGGACTCGCACACTCGCAGGGAGGTTCCAGGCGATAAGTCCGAAACTAGGCCATGAGGCCACACAGCTGTGTGCGAAAGTCCCATAAACACCCACAGGAAACCCAAGTGCACATCATGTCAGAACCTAAAACAAGCAGTTTACTGGGCGAGACCAAGGACTGGGGTGCAAAGCTGAGAGTGTCGGAACGCACTAAATCATGTTCCTGTAAGAGATATGCGTACTGCGCCCACGGCCGCAGGCTTGTCACAGCGTCACAGCATCTCCCAAAATAGCATCAGACTTGAAGGCACACAGTAGTGGTGTAGAGACTTTGACTTTAAGCAAAACAAAAGCTAATTGTTGGGGCTTCGCCCTGTACTCGACACCGCCTCAGGCAGGAAGCATGCTATTGCCAGCATGGAAACCTGAAGAGAGAGAGCCCATCTGATGCATCTGATCCGGGTCGGAAATATTCATCAAGCTTTCCTGACCCTTGTGCGATGCACCTGCGCAGAACAGCGGAGTACTCGTGGCTGCGTAACATCCATCAGGTAAGGATTTCTTGGACACCCAGCCTTGTCAGGGCTCTGAAACCTAACCTCCAAACACTAAACCACCACAAACTTTATTGCCTGGAGTCCCGAAACCGGTATCCGAAAAACAGCTTCCCACTAAACATAGGTGAATAGCTCCTCCTCGGGGCTCAGCGGGGGCAGGGGCTCGGGTGGAAGCCTGGGTACTTGACGACTCCGGCTTGGGGTTCGAGGGGTTTAGGCTTGTAGGATGTTGTAAGGTTTTGGTTTCTAAACTTTTGGGGATTCTGGGATTGAAGATGATTGCAGCGCCTGGGCTTCGGGGAGGATTTGAAGGGGCGTGCATTTGGACGAGGCCTGATTCCTTGCTCAGTCAAAGCCATCCATCACAAATCAGTCTTCAATCTCTAACTCTAGGCAGCTACAATTTTCGTGAGGCCAAGGCGGTGCGTGAAGCCTAAGGCCGTTCTCTTCCGCCTCGCCCTCCTCCTCGGCCTGATCAGCCTGATCCTCGCGCACATCTGAGGTTGACAGGTACATGAAAAGCAATAGGACTTTAGGAATGTTAGGATGTGGGAGGCATGTTCTGGTTCGGGTTGCCGTTTCAGCCAGAATCCGTCAAGGGCCCCTACTAACTCCGCGACCCCGAGCCTGGCCCGGCCATCACTCAATGAACTCCTCAGGACATGCGCCAGGCCACCTAGTAAAACTGCCCCAGCAAAAGCCCGTTATTCCAGCATAGACCCCTACACCGTGATGGACCATACAGCAAGTTCATCGCGGAACATTGCACCCTCACACATCTGGGTCCACGAAACCACCAGGAGACCACGAGGAGACCACCAAAGCCCAGGAAAACCAGTACACGGACAAAGGACCGCCACCACCGCCACCACCACCACCACCACCAGCACCACCACCACCACCACCACCACCACCAAAAGCCCCGGGACCAAAACCCTGTTATATATGTACAGCAAGGATCCCGAAGGAACAACATTCAGACTTGTTCAGGCTTCTAGAATGCCACTACCACTCGTCTGGTCGGGTTTCCTGGTGCTCGTGACCATCGCACAGTGCAAGCTACGAAGTTAAGAAGGATACTGACTGAACCATGAACCCCGTGAGCCCGAAAAATTACATACATCCTAAAATTAGGATGCTCCTCCAGCTCCGACTCCGACTTCAGCGCAGTCTGCGGAAAGATCCTCAGAGCTTTCAGCGTATAAAGGGTTCTGGGATGCTTCGGGGTAGGGTTTACAGGACCTTCGGGCCTGGGAACTAGAAGCCCCAACCTTGAACCTCTCATCCGGGTTTCGATCAGGCTTTAAGGGTTGAGGTTTCGATGCTCCGAATCCGGCATGCCAGGGGAGAACAGCAATCACTCCAACTAAACCCGGCACATAGTTTCTGTTTGAGGGTGGAAGGGTTCAAGGCTTATGGCAACCATTATCCAATAAATCCAAACTTGTACTCCTAGCCATGCTTCCATCAATGTGTGGTTCGTGAGTCCCCGTGGCTCTCCAAGAGCTGCCCCAGCCACATCCACTATTGGTGTGATGGGCTCGGACTGTACATGGTCGACTTTGCAACAATGGTAGCTTTCTCCTACTCTCTCTCTCTCCTTCCTCACACCCCCTGCAATCATTCCAGGCATGCACATCAAGTTTCAGGTTTTTGGAGCTTCGCGGCGGCGAAAGCAGAGCAGGATCGACATCCGGGAATGCAAGTCTTGTCTGGAGCTGGTCTCTGACAGCGACGATGATCCTCTGATTACAAGATTGTTCCGCTATGCTCACGTGGTGCTGGGGCCCATGTGTGTGGTCCCTCTCTGATCCGGGCTCCCTCGCCTCAAACTTTAGTTGCAGCTTTGACCCATACATCTGCACCCGACAATGGCAACCTGCAAAGCCACGGAGCCAACCCTCAACGCCTCAAAACCACAGCCCACGAAACCACACTACAAGCCGTCAGAACATAGAGCTTGCGCCAGCTGCCGCCAAAAGCACCGGAAGCGGGGACGTTGAAACTTTGCAAGCCTGCGGATCTGCGAATCCACCGTTTGGGGTTGGCTCAGTGTCTGGGCTGTGGGTTCAGACAGCGCTGGGTGTCCCTATGGCTCGGGTAGAGAGGACTTGCATGGGCTGAGGTAATGTAATGTTCGGACGCACGAAAAAGCCTGCATTTGCAAATCGGGGATGCATCGGCGGTTGGCAACCCTGCAGGCTAGATGATGCGTTCTCATTCTGAATTAACAGAACACAACATGGCTAGCCTGAGACTTTGGCCAGTGCGAGCTTGTCATCCTTGTTTGCCAGTGCAGTGTCGGGATGTACCACCCACTGAGGCGCTGAACAAGCTTCTGCAGATATCTGAAGGGCACAAACAACCATCTCCGGTTCGCATTTGCTGACAACGTGTCAAGCAAGCACATCGGATCGGCATTCTGCCAACCCCCCCTTGAAAATCAGGTTGTGTCAAGAGCATTCAACGCCAGAATGTAGTGCTTTTGAACACTTTCGCACACTGCCACTCAATCATGGACGTTCCTTCCCGGATTGCTTGTGTACATGCTGTATATTCCCGAAGCCCAACACCCCCGGTTGCCCTCCTGTGCACTATCGGGGTTTCGGCAAGCCTCGCAACCAACTACACACACATGATTGCTCACGAAAACTCCTCAGATGTCGGATTGCCAAGTCTACCACGTAGAGTTGCGAAGACGAGGCCTCCAAGCCACCCTGGAATCGGAACCTAAAGCCTAAACTTCCTAAACCCTAAGCCACAGCAAGGCCTGCAGCAGCAGGTGCTGTAGTGCTCAGACGGGCTGCATGTACAAGGTCGGCCTGCTTGGCTTGAGAGCTCTTAGAGGTTCAGGCTTCATACTTTGGAAATGATAGTCATGCTACTAACGAATAAGGATAAGAATAGTTTAGAGTCATAAAGGTGTTCACACTACAATGGCATCTAGAGAAGTCCGAAGCGATCAGGGTGTGACGGCAAGCTTCGGGCTTCTACAACACGGTCCAACCTGCTTATTGACGGGGCAGCCTTCGCATCCCTTGCAGACTTCTCCGGAAAAGAACCTTTTTTGAGACCGGACTTGATGACTGCCAGCGAACCTAAACCCTAAAGTCTTTTGATGAAGGAACTCCGCCTTTAAGCACCGGTGTCGGTGCTGGCGAAGCTGCGACAGTCGCTGCCGGGGCGACAGGTGCCTGTAAACTGCCAAAGCTGACTTCAAGGAGCTCAATATCTGTAATGTAGTCATATGTAGTCATATATGGAAAAACATTATAATATAGTCATAATATATTGTTCAAATTTATAATTCAAGAATGAAGAGGACTTCGCAAGAGTCGAGGCTCGGCTGTCCAGAATAAAAGCGGGCCCTCATTGCTCATGATAACAAAGGAAATGCATATCTAGGTTTTGGAATGTCATGAAGTTGAGGTTGCACAGGTAACCCGTCCGTTTTCATCCAATAAAGTCTGTCGACTTGCACAGCATCACAAAGCCTACTGTTACTACATGCCAACATCGACCATTACCAAGCCCCTTCTCTAGAAACAGCAAGCCGGACCCCATGCCTTCTCTGCTGCAGCCCTGGGCTTCGCAACCACGGCCGGAGGGTGATCTGGAGGTTTGGAGCGGAGGATTTCGTGCTTTAAGGAGGTTTCGGAAGTTGTTTGAGGCTCTTACGGACTGTGGAAGCCAACCATATGAACTCCTAAGACATAGCCACCCTGCGCTAGCGTCGTTTCCCACAAGCCTGAGCTTGAAAGCAGCCTGAACCCTCCGAAGAGTTTTGGGAGCAACGCTTCACTTCGCGGAACCTGGTGGCATTCCCCACTCCATCCACAATCACAAAGCAACGTCTGCTTCAATAAGCAAAAGGTACGGTGGGGTACCCTAAATAGGCCCGAGGGCAACAGCATGTCACCGGGCCTTGGTAGCCGTTCGGTTGAACAGCTTTCACATCGTCTCCCTGCCTGATCATCGCACGGAGACCCAGGAAAGAAAAAAAACAACGATCATGCAGCTCAATGCTGCGCACTTGAGAAAGAGATATATCGGTACGTCTTTATTCGCACATATCTTTTTCAAGTACCCAATCACTCTCTTTTCGCTGTCCAGCAAGTATTCCGTCATGATATATAATTACACAGAGAGAGATCACGCACACATATGCAAACAAGCAAGCGCGCGCACACACACACACACACATATATATATATACACATCAACAAACATCTTTGGTATGCATATAGGTTAGGCGGCAACTGCCAATTAAATAGAGTGTCCACAGGTATGCCAAAAGAAGAAGACATGGTAAGATAGTGACAGCCATCCACGAGCCCACCACAATATGTCTAGCACCTGTCTCCGTCCTTAGCTTCTCAATGGCCAAGAGTGGAGTAACCTGCATTTCTCAACATACCCTGAGGCAGATCAGGGTCGGTCCCCAGATTTCGTCCGGATCTTGTTGCTGCTTGCAGCTGCGCTGCGGGCAAGACTTGCAGTAGTGCTGGCAAAGGTGGGGAGAAACTGCAAAAAAGGTTCCCTAGAATGGTAATGAAACAGCGCATCGGTGTGTACCAAATTCAATGCATCGACTTGAAACCTTACCTGGAAACTGGATCAGTAAAGGATCCATTGAACTGCCAGCACAGGACCCCCACTAAGTCCATCTGCATGCATCTTGCGCCCGCCTGTGCCGGGCAAGCGCTTCTTGCTTCAGCTGCTGCCGACGTCCCGGCGGAATCCTGCTGCACGGCCATTGTGGCTTCTGCACAAGCAGCCTTGCACGGCTGCTCGCAGCGTCGGGCGTTCGCAGGACATGCTCTGCAACCCTAGATGTCTAAATGGGCACTATAGATAGCATCATCGCGAGCAAGCCCGCGCATCAGCCCTTGCAGGATGACTAGACAGCAGCTGCTCCAGAGACCCTACACAGAATCCTGCAGCATCCCGGCGTGTGTAACCCCCACAAGTAGCAAAATCCGATTAAACCATAACCCTATAACCCTATATGAAGGTGCGAGACGTTTTCAAAGGTCCTCTGAATGTCTGTATCCCCGGCTTCGCTCAGCGGTGCCGATGCCAGGGGCGAGGCAGCTATGAAGAAGCCTAAGGCAGTGCAGGGCTGTGGGGGTTTAGGTTTTGGGTTTTGGAGCTTTGGGTAGAGTATTAGTTGGGATTTAGGCAGCACTCATAGCTGAAGCTGTCGAATTCGCGATGAGGATGTGTGCGCTGTGCTTGGCATCATGATAAATACGCCTGGTACTGCTGCCGGCCATGTTGTGATAGGGTCCCTCAGTAAGTACGGAGTCCTTCGAAAAAGTAGAACAGAATGTCACTAGCAAGTTCTCGCCTTCCCCTCCGATTTGGTTATCCATGGCGTCCTATCCGCATTACAGCCACGAAGCAGACTTTGAAACAGAATTGTCTTGCCCTCATTTTTCTCCAAGACCTGAAGCCTCCGAGCACACGAGCATACAGCTTCTTTTCAAACTCTATATTGCAAAGATATAGCTATTTGAGTTTGGCTTCTGGCGAGCGTGCCTGCAAATTCTGCTCTCTGGGTCCCACGTCAACTTACTGCAAGGACGAGCTGACAGTGAAGTGCATCTACATGAATTTCATGAGAGGATACTTCCATTGGCGAAAGGTCGAGCAGCGCAGCGTCGACTGTGGGTCGTGGAGGGTCAGTGTGATCTTGAGATCAAACCTGGGAACGCAAGCAGACACCCTCATAAGGCCTGGGCAATTGATGAGAACTGCTATGGCAACGAACGCCGCTTTGAAACTTGCTCTGTCCACTTTGTGGAAGCGCGTCCAGTGGATCTGCACCGAGATTTGTTGAAGCACTGTTCCTGCAGAGCTTCTCGATTCTAGATTTACTGCGAATAGTTTTCAATTGCTTTTGTCAGTGCGGTTTGATTTGTTCCATTTGACAAGCATCTAAACCCTCGCCCAATACACGTGTTGAAATTATGTGGCTTCGAGACTTCAATGCACTGTTGAACTGGCTGTGGCACGACAGTAACCTTTGCTTCTTGCGGTGCGAAGGCCCATTACTACAAGTACAAATCGAGCGTCCTTAAAACAAACACAGACTTCGAAGTGGCAAAACTCAGAGGTCACCATGTCTCGCTGTATGCATACGCTGAGCCACATACCTGCACGATGGGTAAACTGACGCCAGCATGAGACGAATTAAACTCTGACGCAAAGCTTTTGAGCCGAGGCGCTGGTGGTCTGCACCGATAGGGAAAAGCCTTGAAAGGTGCTGCATGGCATAAAGACATTTTGCCAACTCACAAACTTGTGCACCATTCCGAACACACAGGGTTCAATTTGCAGCAATAACGCGGACAACCGGGACCCAGCAACCTAGCCGCGGGTCGCAAGCATGTTGGTGCAGGAACAGCAGCACAAACAAAGGAACGCAGTTGTGGCATCAATTACGCTCGCAAACAGCACACAACTCAAGCTGGCCAGCAGCACAGCCTGCTCCGCACAACCTGCAGTTTCCAGCCAAGGAGCTGCTTCAACATTTCTTTAGCACCCTCTGCGCCGTGCACCAGTATGGCCGTCCTTGACGCAGACAGTTCAGGCAGCGAAAAAATCGGACCGACTTAAAAGCCGAATTAAGAAGACTAGGCCCAGGCGTCTGGAGATTCTCCGCTACCGGGACTCTTAACATTATCTGGCAATGGTTGAAGAAGCTCCAGGTGGGGTCCCAGGAGGAAGATGTCGTATGAGTCGTATGGACAACTAGCTGAAGCACCGACTTCGATGGACTTCGATGGGTTCGAGTCCCCTTGTTGATGGGGCTTTACACAAAAAGTTCTACAGAGGGTTACAAGGGAATGGCATGGCTAATTATTCCATGTCCTGTCGCAAAACTATGTCAGAAGCAGAAAGACAGCCTCAGATCACAACCTGAGCTGCAAGCGCACCACACAGCTTGCTTGGTATGGCGAGGATCTCATCCTTAGCCGGGACTGCTGTGATCCGACGGGAGCACATCTCTACATCAGGGTCTTCAGGCTCCCGGCATGCCTTTTGGGATCTTCTGAGTTCAGACCCGGTGGGGGTGGGACCCAGGTGCTCGGATTTTCCATAGTCCTCTTGTCCATGCGTAGGTTTGGGTTTACTTTACTATACGTCGAGAGGGTTGACAGTTTTCGCTTGGGGCGACGACTCCAGACTTGGATTTGCGACGTCACTCTCGCTCTCTCCAGGTGGAGCTATTTTTCGAGATGTTCTGTGCTTCTTGACCCCCCAAGCTGCCGGCACAATGCCTGCTTTACAGTGAGGGCGATTTGGCACCAACGTTTCTGGTACCAGCCTTGCCAGGCCCCGAAAAATCCCTCGTTTAGCCTTGCATGGCATGGTAAGCAAGACTGGAGAGGATCTGTTGAAACGGTAAACTTCGCGGCCGTTGCAAGACAACAGCCGGACTGTCCGAGTCCAGAAGGATGTCTGCTGGCAATGTCTCTCGGAGACCCAGCATCTTTCTATCAGGATCAGACAGGGAAAAGATGATAAACGCAGCAAGTGTACATGGACAGTCCCAACATGCCGGCTCAGCACGATCGAAGCTGTCAATTAAAACACAGACTGCTGGAACGACGAGTCAAACACTCTGCAGCCAATGCTTGCATCAGCAACCCTCATTTCACATCACAGTATCGACGATCCCGATCGCGAAACGAAGAACCATGGGCGTCAAGGCTGCCATGAATGCAACACGATGAGGCAGGGAAGATAGAGCACCAAGCATGAACTCCTCCTCATCGATTTTCTTCTTGCCTCTGTGCTGCATGAGGCGTGTAGCATCCTTCCAGCTGGCAACTTCTATGATGTGAGGTTCCTGGAAACGCACCCGCCGCACTGTGTCAGCACTTGCGCAGGGAGTCGGAAGGCTTTCGCTGAAGTCATGTCCGCCTTCTTGGACAACGGCAGTTCGGATTGTCATCGTCGATTCCGTCCGTCGGCAGACCCCTAACACCGCCTTTGAGCCAAATTGGCTGATTTGGCATTGAGGATGCAAGGGTTGCTTCGTGTACGGTAGAAACTGTAGCTTTCGTTTATATCAGGCTAGCTGCTACGTACCGACCGACCTACCTACCTAGGCAACTTTGTGATTGTCTAGTATACAACGTAGTTGTCGCAATAAACTCTTTATTATGCTGGAATATACTGGACTTAGCATAAGGTATTAGGTATAAGATACTTAACATACTACAGCATACTTTTGAATATAGTGGACAAGGCTAGACTACAGCATACTAAACTACTTGATGACTCTATCCTTTATGTTAAGGTGCACTAGTAACCCTAAACCCTTCACCCACTACTGTTGATGATATAAATCCTGCATTACCTTAAGGACCCTGAACTATGGGAACTATGGCATATTCCTTATTATGGGNNNAGGATTTATATCATCAATAGTAGTTGTAGCCTGTGTAACTCAACCCTGACGACTCTGAATCCGAGACCTTGGGCTCCTGGCCAGCTCAAGCGCCTCCTTCGGAATCTGGGGCCCCTGGGAGT